TTTTGAGTTTTGGGGGGGGGGGGGCAATATGACTTTATCCCCTTTATCCCTTTTCTCTAACATTAAAGGACTGAATGCTCGAGCTTACAAAAGGTGTTGTTTACTCCGGTGGGCAAACAGAGGAGCAAAGAAAAAAAGGAAGTATATGAAGCTGGGAGAGAACTTGTGGGCAAAGTTGAGGTAAATCTAACTCTTTAGCTTTGCTTTGTGGAAGTGATGGCAACAAGAAAGTCAACTTTGCAAATGAGATTGAGTACAGAACTAAGGGAATATCCCTAAAGGGAAGGCCGACAGAACCAGGCTGTGATACCATGGTGTCCCATGTGAGCGACCCCTGTACAAAAATCTCTACCAGGAAGTGAAAGGCAAGAGGCCTCTTAAAGAAGAGAGCCAAGGACAAAATTTGTCCCTTGATGGTAATCAAGGCCAAACACTGATCCAGACTGGGAAAAGGCCAGGATGGAACCTCCTATTCTTGCACCATGCAAAGTAAGTATTCCAGGTGCTATGGCAGACTTTTGTAAGAAGATGACTTACTTTATCTGGCGCACAGATGGCTGAATTCGACAGGCCCCTGTCTCTCAGGACCTGGGCTTAAACAGACAAACCGTCAAAGCCAGTGACCGAGAAATAGAATGATAGGTCTGAAAGGGGCCATAGAGAGTCTGAGAGTGTGAATAAGTCAGCATATCACAACGAGGATGACTAAACTGTCCTCCACCTTGATCCTACAGAGCAGGCGAAGGGGGCGTATGCCAGGGTGAACTGATCCCATAGAGTCACCAGAGAATCCACTGCGAAGGCCTTTAGATCCCTGTCCAGTTTTAATTGTTGAACATTAATGCCAGGAAGTACACATCCAAGTTCCCCTGCCTGCAACAGAGGTCCTGAAGCAACTCCCATTTGCCTGAATGCAGACACTGACAACTAATGAAGTTTGCATGATAATTTTCCACGTCAGGGATATGCACAATGGTTAGGACCAGAACGTAAAGTTCTGCCCAAGCCAGAATCAGGTCCACCTCTCTTTGCGCTGCACAACTTCTGGTGCCTTCCTGATGATTAATGTAGGCCACCGCTGTGTCATTGTTTGATGTGGACTCTCATCAGGTAACCTTGCAACTGGGAGGTCCATGATAGCCAAATGTGTCAGAGTTCCATGTTGATAGGAAGCAGATATTTCCTCGACAACAAAGTCCCCTGGACCATCGATGCCCCTAGGAATTCTCCACAACACAACAGGCTTGCATCCATTGTGAACACTTTCCAAATCATTGGAGAACGGCCTTCCCCCAGTTCCAGCACTGGACTGGAAATTCTCCATGGAAGGCAAAGTCTGGCCTTGTCCGAGATATGCATAGGGCAATCTGAAGACTGATTCTGCTTGTCCCACACAGCCAGAATGCTGAGCTGTAATGGCCTGGAGTGGAAATGTGCATACGGTACTGCCTCGAAGGAGACCACTATCAGACCCAGAACCATCATGCAGAAGCAAATGGATGGTCAACTCTTGGACTGCAGGGTCCTCACATGTGTAAGTGTAGGGATAGAAGCTTCTCCCTGTGGAGGAAGACCCTGGACTGGGCCATATTGAAGCAGGAGGCCACTATCAGACCCAGAACCACCATGCGGAAGCAAATAGATGGTCAACCCTTGGACTGCAGGGTCCTCACATGTGTAAGTGTAGGGATAGAAGCTTCTCCCTGGTGAGGAAGACCCTGGACTGGGCCATATTGAAGATAAGGCCCAGATATTCTGATGAGTTGGATTCAACACATGTGTCGGGTGGTCGAGGACCCAACCGAATTTCTGCACACGGACAAACCAGAAACCCAGTACAGCCCTATGCTGAGAAATTTTTGTGTTTGCCCTGGGCAATGACTTTTACCTGGCAGATTTCATGTGGAATTTCTGGATGTGACAGATTTTGTTGAGGTATTTCAGATCTGGGATGGAGCAAAGGCCACCTTTTGCCTTGGGAACTGTAAACAGGTTTGATTAGAAGCTCTGAAAAAACTTTCCACTGTAGGGACGGGGTAATGACCCCCAACAGAAAACAACTCCTACAAAGCAGTTAACAGATATACTAGGCTCTGCGGAGAGAAGGGCATACTTAAAGAGACCAAAACTCCAGATGGTACTCCCTAGCTATGACATGCTGGATACAAAGGTCTCTAATTTCTCAGGTGGAGATGTTCGTAAAGGTCGACAAACATCCCTCCACTTTGAAAAGTGGTGGCACCCCTTATTGCGAGTAGGACTTGGATCCAGATTTTACCATCTACCAGTAAAGATTTTTGTCTTTTTTTTTTATTAGACACAGGTCTAATACTGTGTCTAATATAAAAATATAACAAGTCACAGGTGACTTCCTTGATGAAGGTCTCTAAGAATTAAGTGAAGACCCTTTACCCTCCGAAGGGCATCCTGTCCAGGCGCTTCTTCATATGAAGGCACTTCATACAAGCTTGTGCTTCCCTTGGCCATGACAGAAGTAGAGTCGCAGACCACACTCCATGCAAACCACAAGGGGCTACAGCACCCTGGTATTAAATGCAAGGCCCTGACTTACCCACACCTGTGTTGACAGGCAAATAAATTCTTGGGATAAATGAAACCAGTTTCCTCTCCAGTCTTCACCCACCCCCTCCAGGGGGGTCATCAGGAACAGGGCTTGACTGGCCCTGGATCTGTATAGCACCCTGTGCCTGACTAAACATGTCGCATCACGTGCCAAGGTGAGCGCCTAACTCAGGTCCAGTGCCCGAACAGAGATTAAAGGATTACCACACGTCTAGGGTAAGGGTACGGTGCGAGGGGCAATGATCTGGAGCCTGCAAGAGGGTCAGCCACAGTGGCTACAGTGCCGACAGAACCTTGACAGGAAAATCTAAAGAAACATTTGTACAGCTATAGGAACCATTTATTTCTCGCACTAAAGAGAAGACGTCTAAAAGCTAGGGACACTAGCAAAAAACAGAAGCTTGCTGTGAGTGGGAGGGGTTTTATGGCGGCTTTCCTAACAACTCTGTTTGCCAGTGTCCAATCACCTGAAGATGGCTGCATATAAATCACCTGAAGATGGCTGCATATAACCCAGTAGTCCAGTGCTAAGCCTGTGTCCTGTGGGATTAAGAAATATACACTATATTGCCAAAAGTATTGGGACACCTGCCTTAACATGCACATAGACTTTACTGGCATCCCAGTCTTAGTCCGTAGGGTTCAATATTGAGTTGGCCCACCCTTTTCAGCTGCAACAGCTTCAACTCTTCCGGGAAGGCTGTCCACAAGGTTCAGGAGTGCGTCTATGGGAATGTTTGACCATTGTTCCAGAAGCGCATTTGTGAGGTCAGGTACTGATGTTAGACGAGATGGCCTTGCTCGCAGTCCTTGCTCTAATTCATCCCAAAGGGGTTCCATCGGGTTGAGGTCAAGAATCTGCAGGCCAATCAAGTTCCTCCACCCCAAACTTGCTCATCCATGTCTTTATGCACCTTGCTTTGTGCACTGGTGTGCAGACATGTTGGAACAGGAAGGGGCCAACCCCAAACTGTTCCCACAAAGTTGGGAGCATGAAATTGTCCAAAATGTCTTGGTATGCTGATGCCTTAAGAGTTCCCTTCACTGGAACTAAGGGGCCAAGCCCAACCCATGAAAAACAACCCCACACCATAATCCCCCCTCCACCAAACTTTACACTTGGCACAATGCAGTCAGGCAAGTACCGTTTTCATGGCAACCGCCAAACCCAGACACGTCCATCGGATTGCCAGACAGAGAAGCGTGATTCGTCACTCCAGAGAACACGTCTCCACTTCACTACAGTCCAGTGGCGGCGTGCTTTACACCACTGCATCTGACGCTCTGCATTGCACTTGGTGATGTAAGGCTTGGAGGCAGCTACTCGGGCATGGAAACCCATTCCATGAAGCTCTCTACTCACTGTTGTTGTGCCAATCTGAAGACCACACAAAGTTTGGAGGTATGTAGCTATTGACTCTGGGGACAGTTGGCGACTTCTGCGCACTGTGCGCTTCAACATGCGCTGACCCCGCTCTGTCATTTTACGTGGCCTACCACTTTGAGGCTGAGTTGCTGTTGTTCCCAGTTGCTTCCACTTTGTTATAATACCACTAACAGTTGACCGTGTAATATTTAGTAGCAAGGAAATTTCACGGATGGACTTATTGCACAGGTGGCAACCTATCACGGTACCACGCTTGAATTCACTGAGCTCCTGAGAGTGACTCATTCTTTCACAAATATTTGTAGAAGCAGTCTGCATGCCTAGGTGCTTGATTTTATACACCTGTGGCCATGGAGGTGATTGGAACACCTGAATCCAATGATTTGGAGAGGTGTCCCAATACTATTGGCAATATAGTGTATGTTTGTATAGACAACTAAGCTTTTTTTTAAATGTAAAAATTATAAATGTAGTAATTTATTTCCATGTTTCCTAAATTCAACTCATACAGAAACATCTGCTAGACAGAAAAAAAAAATTACCTGTGCTGGAGAAAAGAAAGCTCAAGCATGTCAAGGAGCAGAACAAGTGTAGCGCAGCTGTACAGGTCACCCGCCTCCCTATGTAGCTTTTCAATGTCAGCAAAGAATCAGGAGACAACAGGCCTTTGAGATACTTCTCCATGATGTTTGTGACGGAAGTCTTGTGTCTAAAACAGGAGAAGCACAAACAATCAGCCAAGATAATATGAAACCAGGTCATTAAAAGCTTGATTAATATTGCATTTTCATGTTAATACCACAGCAAGCCATAAAACTGGCAAGCCCATTAGATAAAAACTGTCAGGTTCCATGGACATCAGTGAGTTAACTATTACCTACTGACAAACGTCACCTCTCTTGAGTCATTCGGGAACGCAACAGCTGGTTATTATGGAGAGAGTCCCAGGTGAACATAGATCATGTAAAATACACAACTCAAGTCTAACAGGATGTGCTTTTATTCCTCTTTCCAGATACACATATAAACTGCAAAAGGTACAGTTCTTGCCTTTCATTGGACATTACAGCACAACACCATTTAAAACCTAGTGAGGATAGTATAATACAAGTTTTAAACATTTGTTTTATGTCTTTTTGTTATCCTGGCAGTCATGCCGGTTTTAATTTTACTGACAACATCTCTTAAACTGATCCCATTGCAAACGCCCTGAAAAAAAATGAAAAGCACCTGCATACTATAGTTCCTTCCAAAAGCCTACAAATACTACATTAGTACACTCATTTTAAAATCAAAAGGACAGCAAACTACTATTAAGAATGCAACTGCATGATAGGAAAACTAGAAGTCAATTTTGTTTTGTTTTGTGCACATATTTGAAGACTACTTTGCTAGCCCTAATCAAGTTTGTGTATTGAACGTATTCCAAAGTTAGCACAGTCCACGAGAACGAAACCAGCAGACTGGAACTGCTGCCAAGCTGTCTGGCGCAGATCTCTTTCTCCTTGGACAGATAATCTGTTGTCCTGTGTGTATCTGCTATGTACAGGAACTGCTGTACCAGCAGGCACAATGTACTGACTGGTGCAAATTGTACTTTGTTTCATTTATTGATTGTTTTTTTGCCTGTTTGTTTTATTATTCAAAATGGCTGCACATAGCCTGACTGGTGCAAATTGTACTTTGTTTCATTTATTGATTGTTTTTTTGCCTGTTTGTTTTATTATTCAAAATGGCTGCACATAGCCTGGCTGGTGCAAATTGTACTTTGTTTCATTTATTGATTGTTTTTTTGCCTGTTTGTTTTATTATTCAAAATGGCTGCACATAGCCTGGCTATGTGCAGCCATTTTGAATAATAAAACAAACAGGCAAAAAAACAATCAATAAATACATGTAGCCTGGCCTGGCTATGTGCAGCCATTTTGAATAATAAAACAAACAGGCAAAAAAACAATCAATAAATGAAACAAAGTACAATTTGCACCAGTCAGTACATTGTGCCTGCTGGTACAGCAGTTCCTGTACATAGCAGATACACACAGGACAACAGATTATCTGTCCAAGGAGAAAGAGATCTGCGCCAGACAGCTTGGCAGCAGTTCCAGTCTGCTGGTTTCGTTCTCGTGGACTGTGCTAACTTTGGAATACGTTCAATACACAAACTTGATTAGGGCTAGCAAAGTAGTCTTCAAATATGTGCACAAAACAAAACTAGCGGTTTGATGTATACAATGGATCTAATTAAGTGGGGAAAAAGACACACAGCAAATAGAATATGCACAAACAGTGGGTAACTGTAACTTGAGGTGAACTGAACATAACATACAAGAATATTGGATGGCAGCTTATAGTACAGTGGTCTTGAACATGACAATATGCAAGAGTATTGGATGACAGCTTACACGTACAGTGGCCTGAAAATGACAACATGCAAGAGTATTGGATGACAGCTTACATGTACAGTGGCCTGAAAATGACCACATGCAAGAGTATTGGATGACAGCTTACATGTACAGTGGCCTGAAAATGACCACATGCAAGAGTATTGGATGACAGCTTACATGTACAGTGGCCTGAAAATGACCACATGCAAGAGTATTGGATGACAGCTTACATGTACAGTGGCCTGAAAATGACCACATGCAAGAGTATTGGATGACAGCTTACATGTACAGTGGCCTGAAAATGACCACATGCAAGAGTATTGGATGACAGCTTACATGTACAGTGGCCTGAAAATGACCACATGCAAGAGTATTGGATGACAGCTTACATGTACAGTGGCCTGAAAATGACCACATGCAAGAGTATTGGATGACAGCTTACATGTACAGTGGCCTGAAAATGACCACATGCAAGAGTATTGGATGACAGCTTACATGTACAGTGGCCTGAAAATGACCACATGCAAGAGTATTGGATGACAGCTTACATGTACAGTGGCCTGAAAATGACCACATGCAAGAGTATTGGATGACAGCTTACATGTACAGTGGCCTGAAAATGACCACATGCAAGAGTATTGGATGACAGCTTACATGTACAGTGGCCTGAAAATGACCACATGCAAGAGTATTGGATGACAGCTTACATGTACAGTGGCCTGAAAATGACCACATGCAAGAGTATTGGATGACAGCTTACATGTACAGTGGCCTGAAAATGACCACATGCAAGAGTATTGGATGACAGCTTACATGTACAGTGGCCTGAAAATGACCACATGCAAGAGTATTGGATGACAGCTTACATGTACAGTGGCCTGAAAATGACCACATGCAAGAGTATTGGATGACAGCTTACATGTACAGTGGCCTGAAAATGACCACATGCAAGAGTATTGGATGACAGCTTACATGTACAGTGGTCTGAACTTGGCAACATGCAAGGGTATTGGATGACAGCTTACATGTAGAGTCCCCAAGTATTCCTTGCACATGTTGCCGAGAAAGGTTGAAAAATAAGTACATATACAGCATGAGGTATTCATTCCCAAGTACATTGAGGGCTGGTTCACGTCACATCGCTTATGAACGCATAGAACATGACGTGTGTGTGTGCCTCCTGGTGGTGTGAAGGTGCGCTGTTGTGCACTGCGATGCGCCGCTATAACGCATTACAGTGCTCAGGTTCTTTCTTTTTTACCTACATGTAATTTGATGCACTGCAGCAGTGCATTGCAACATACTGCAATAAAAAGATGCCTGGATCACATCATGCGTGCTGCATGGGACTGTTGGTCCAACAGTCCCTAAAACCAGTAATTGAACAGCAATGTCCAGGAGCCAGTTGCATTTATCTCATCCTAATTTCTTCAGTACGGTAAACGGATTTGAAAAAGGACATAAAGATTGACAAATTACAATGTTACCCTAGGAACTCTGCGACCTGCCTCTGAAAATGATAGCTGTCTCTCTGGCTGTCCATGGCCTCAGTAATTTCAGTCACAGTGAAGTCAGAATTCCTAACGTATGTACCTGTTCTATGTCAGTGACTCATGAAGTACTAAAGCATTTGTATCAGCATGACAACCTGGTAAAAAGAAGGTAGAGGTCCCTATGAAAGCCTTTAGTCCCTGTTTACACCTGGGTGTTTTAACGCTCAAAGCTAAAAGGTGACAAAATGCTCTATCCCATTCATTTCTGTGGCCCTTGTTCACACGTGAGAGTTTTGTAGCAAACTGTAAAACGCTGAAGGCTGGAAAAGCTACATGAGCTTTTTTCAGGCAGATTACTGCGCATTGGGCTGCATAGACTTCAATAGAAGCACATGTAAACGCACGACAAAAGCATTTTACACATTTGTGTGCACGTTTTTACGCACGTTACCACAATGCATTTCAATCTGCTCAATAAAATGTGCGTCTTTGTGTATGCGCGTCTAACGCGCGTAAAAATGTGCAAAGCGCGCTAGGTGGTATGCTAAACAAAATGTGTGTTAACCAGTTGACATCCGCGGTGTTAAACCCCCTTCCTGTCCAGGCCATTTTTCAGTATTCAGCGCTGCGGTACTTTGACTGACATTTATTCCGTCATGCAGCGCTGTACTGAAATGAATTTTATACCCTTTTTTGGGGACAGATAGAGCTTTCTTTTGGTGGTATTTAATCACCACTGGGGGTTTTATTTTTTACTATATTAAGGAAAAACTACAGATTAAAAAAAAAACAGTTCCCCCTATATTAAATTCTAAAACATTTATTGGGTAAAGAGACACCAAACACGTTAAGCCTTAAAATTGCGCATGCGTGCGAAACCTCAAAAAAACTACATTACTCAAAATTGGCCATAGGCGACGCATTAAAAGCTTTTACCGCTCATCAGTGATTGATGGCCCTAAAATGATTGCTCTCACTGCGACGTTCGCTTCAATATGTAACATGTGTAGCGCAATTGTCATTTTCGAGCGCTGACGCATGCGACGCATATTTACGTTTATATGTGCAAAGGGGGGAACTTAAACATGGGGGGGTTTACTTTTTTTATTTGTGACTTTTATTTTTTTTTACTTTTTTTATTTATATAGATTTTTTTTTTTTTAACCTTATTGTTATTGCTATTACATAGGGGGATACCAACAGCCGTTAACGGCTGTAGTAACGAGCAGGTCTTTCCTGCCCGTGCGCGCGCTAGGGGGCGCGCTGGAGCAGGAAAAAAATGCCGTCTGGAGAATTTCCGTAAGTTCTATCCCACTCCTAATAACCATATCCATCTAGAAGTTTGTAATCCTTAGACCGCTGAGGACCGGTCTAGCAGCCAGACGGGAACAAGGATCAGGTGAGTACATTTTTTTTTTTTCATTTTGCCCCTAGATCAAAACGAGCACTTAACCCTTGCAAAGAAGAAATCCTGGAGTTCTTCTTTAACCGTTTTAACAATATATCATCATTGTTTGCTGGAAGCTGTGTATGATGGGACATGTAGTCTTCAGAAATGGGGATGACATCACATCAAGCAGCAGTGAAAGAGACACAAAGCACACTGGGAATCCAGGTAGTTGATGAAAGTGATGGGCAGAATAAGGCAACACTCACTACATACATCACATCAAGCAGCAAGGAAAGAGACACAAAGCACACTGGGAATCCAGGTAGTTGATGAAAGTGATGGGCAGACAGAAGCTAGGCAGCACTCACTACATAAAAGGGATTTTTTCAAGTAAGCTTTGATTGAGTTATCAAAAACAACTCTAGTATGTATTCCTATT